AATTTTTCATGTTCCTGGTATCTTACCTTACTTGAAAATTTTCTCTGGGACACGAGTTCTGGCGCATCCTGTATGTATAAAAACACGTATTGTTGGCATTATAGTTTCGGAAAATCAACGCGAAAAATAAATTTCAACTAGAATTTTTAAATTTTAGTTTCAAACGTCAATTATATTGACAATAAAGCGTGGCTTGCATTGACATTTTTTGAAATGACATAAATTTGATGTCCAACATTTCGTGTCCGTCAGTAGTATGTTTGGTTGCATATCCTATTTTTGCACGACATTGACATCGTACTAATGCTTGCTTGGCCAATAAAAGCTTTTGTCAACATGGTTATGCAACCACCAATTTGCAATAGTGGCAGAATGCATTGGAACTTGTATGAAATACAATGGGAAAATTAGTTTGAATCGTCCTCTTGATCATATCGCGAAAAAAATGTTTGATATTGTCCTGACTTTGAATTTGTAAGTAAAAATGTACTTAGTTTGAAAATTTGTTGTTTTTAACATCATTAAATAAATTCCCAACAGAGATTACCACCATAGTTGCCACCATTGTGTTTAATGTGTTGCCTACCTCTGTTGACAACATCAACAATGTGTTGACATCGTTTTTTTTTGAAAAGTCGTTTAAATGAGTGCCCAAATTTTTTTACAAAGGCAAACCCCCTATAAACTCTCTGGCTACGCCACTGTACGCATACACACCCAGGTTTGTACTTCTAGCCTTTATTCCACTCTATTTGTTACAATAATTGAACAAATAATACCTACCTCGTCACCATAAACGTTCATTTTTTCGCTTGAATTTATAATAAGCAAAATATCGCCAATGAAAGTTTGAAATTGTCCTGTCATAAATCGTGCTTCAAGCAGTTTCATAACATCCTCTTCTTCTAAAGAATCTAAAGATGCTAAATCTTCACCAAGTATTTTTTCGAAAGCCCCATCAAAACCGCTTTTAACATATTCCTCAATTATTACAACTTCAACAGATTTTGGGCTTACAGAAGGCACAACTTCTAAATCATCAATTAAAGTTTTTATTTCCAGAGTAAGCTAAAATATTCACTTTTAGACACTAAATTAACAATCTTGTTGCTCACATGATAGTTATTTTCAGGCACTTGGTTCAAAAATGGATGATTTATCACCTCCACCATGTATGGTCGATGCTCGGCATTCTTTACTAAACACCTGAAATTGCCGATGAGCGTTTTGTTTCAGTAAAATCAAAGTTTCCTCACTCGTTAATAAAGTCGATGTAATTTTCAGACCAATTAAATTTTCTGTACAATGTTGGTGGAGGATTTGTAATTATTTGAAATAAAATTCTAGATGGTGGCATTGAGTGGTAAGGAGCTGCTCCATCCCCTAATTCGATTGCGGTAATACCCAGTGACCAAACATCGACCCTATTTCCGTATTTTTTTTTCGTTCTTTTGCATGTAATAACTTCAGGAGCTAACCAACAAGGAGATCCTAAACACTCATTTGTACCGTCTAAAACGTCATTTAAAAAACAGGAAAAGCCAAAATCGGCCAATTTAACGTCCCCGTTTTTGGTCAGTAATATATTTTTGCCTCTAATATCACGATGAATGCAACAGTTTTCATGCAAGAATATAGCGGCCTTTAAAAACATAATCAAAAAAGAATGATTGAAACGTGATTTTTTACCTTTATTGTTTCTTTTAAAATATATGCAATGTGTTCTTCTCGCATGCGGCGATTTTTTTCCAAGAGGTTCTGGACCAAATCTGTTACACATCCACCACTGCATACCTAAAAAAAACACATTTCTGTATTGTTCCAAAAAAATTAATTTACTTACCTCTAAAACAAACCAGACTTTGTCTTCCTGGCAAAAAATTGCGTAAAAATCTGGCAAATTCACGTGCCAAGATAAATCTTTCAGAACTTTATATTCCTGTTCTATGTATGTTTGAAATTTTTTCGAGTTTTTTTGTGTTTTAATAGCTACTTGGTTATTTCCTGCTTGTGTGTCAGTCGCTGAAAATACTTTGCCAAAAGCGCCAACACCCAAGACATCTTCGAGCAAATAGCGGTCACCAGGAGAAGGAAACTCTTTTAAATTCATTTTTTTAGGCACTGAAAAAAGTTTCAGTGTTTCAGTAAAACGATTCTAGAATATGTGAAACGATGTTTATGATTAAGAAATCGTTTTATTTAATGAAAGTCACGTAACAATCTAGAGGGAATTTAAACCTGACTACTAGCATATAACAACATGTTAACGTAACAAATTAGTTGCTAATTAAATCTCTTAAATGGTACCTCCAGTACAAGAAACACCGTAATTAAGTTAATTAAAATTTATCGTTAATTACCTTTTATAACAACATAACAACACTAGTTTAAGACACTGACTATTTGTAAATCGCTAATGGCAAAGTTGAGTCGTGCTGCTAATAGAAACCTTACAGTAATTAAATTAAACTAAACCAACTTCGACCCGGTTTGCTTTAACGACGAGAGAAATAAATCAAATTAAAATATTTTTACGACAACTTTTTTTTCGAACTGAGTGGACTTCATTGGGTGTTTCGAGACCAGGACAACGCCCAAAAATCAAACAAAAATACCCAAAATCGCCAGATCAATCAACTACTGTAGCAAATGTGTAATTCAACATTACATTTATTAATTTTCTGTCAATGTGCAACGTACTTTGGCTTTTAAACTTTATTTTGCTTTTAATTCTAGAAATTCCTCGAATTTAATCGAAATTGCTTGGAATTATTTCGGATTATTAAAATTATTTTTGGATTGTTTGGAATTACTGGAATTATCGGAGATATGTAATTTCTTTTGACAATTATGTTGAATTTCTGAGAACTATCGAAATTAATTTGGAATTACAGGAATTATTTTAGAATTAGGAAAATTGAGAGTTGGAAATGTCTCTAGAAAGGGCTGTTAACTTTGGAATTAGTTGTACAAATTTTGGAATTTAATTGAAATTGTTTGGAATTATTAAAATTATCGGAGATAATTTCATTTTCAAAATTACGTTGAATTTCATAGAACTATCGGAATTAAATTTGAATTATAGGAATTATTACGGAATTAATTTTAAAATTAGTTGTACACATTTTTGGAATTCAATCGAAATTGCTTGGAATTTTTAAAATTATCTTTAGACTGCTTGGAATTACTGGATTGTTTCTGAAATTACAGGATTTTTTTTAATTAACGGAATTATTTTAAATTACGAAAATTGAGAGTTGGAACTTCTCAAAAAATTTTGTAAAAAATTGTGAAGGACTGTTAAGTCTAGCATTTGTTGTGTAAATTTTTAAAATTTATTCAAAATTGCTTGGAGTTAATTAAAAGTATTTGGAATGATTAAGATTATCTTTGGATTATTTAGAATTATTTGTGAATTACTGAAATTCTTTTTGGAATTACGAAAATTAAGATGGAATCACAGGAATGAATTTGGTATTATAGGAACAAATCTGAACACAGTAAAGTTACGATGGATTATTACTGTTTCGGTGGAATTTTTGCGAAATTATGGAATTATTTGTGAATTACTAGAGCTTTACTAGAATTCTTTTTGAAATTATCGAAGATAATTAATTATTTTGAACTATCGGAATTAATTTAGAATTACAGAAATTATCCTGAAAACAATGGAATTACTATGGATTGTTGAAACTACTGGAATTTTTTGGAATTACTAGAATTATTTTTTTGTAGGATTACTGGAATATATTTTGGAATCACAGAAAGTCTTTTTGCTATTATTAGAATTTTTTCAGAATTATCGGAGATAATTTCTTTTTTAAAACTACGTTGAATTTCATAGAACTTTCGGTATTAAATTTGAATTAGGTACAGTGATTATTACGGAATTAATTTAAGAATTAGTTGAAATTTAATCGAAATTGCATGAAATTTTTAAAATTATTTTTAGATTGTTTGGAATTACTGGATTTTTTCTGGAATTACAGGATTTTTTTTTGAATTATCGGAGATATGTAATTTTATTGGAAAATAACGTTGATTTGAATTAATTTAGAATTACAGGAATTTTGAAATTACGAAAATTGAGAGTTGGAATTGTCTCTGAAAATTTGGTAAAAAATTGTGGTTGTTTTTATGTTGTCGGACTTTTGACCGAAAGGCCGTCAACTCTCGCATTTGTTGTATAGATTTTTAAAATCAATTCAAAATTAAAAAAATATATTTGGAATGATTAAGATTATCTTTGGATTATTTAGAATTATTTATGAATTACTGGCATTTGTCTGGATTACTGAAATTCTTTTTGGAATTACAAAAATTAAAATGGAATTACAAAAATTAAAATGGAATTACAGGAATTAATTTGGTTTTATAGGAACAAATCTGAAAACAGTAAAGTTACGATGGATTATTTGAATTATTGTTTCGGCGGAATTTCTGCAAAATTATTGGAATTATTTGTGAATTACTAGAGTTTTACTAAAATTCTTTTTGAAATTATTGAAGATAATTAATTTTTTAGAACTATCGGAATTAATTTGGAATTACAGAAATTATCAAGAATACAATGGAATTACTATGAATTGTTGAAATTACTGGATTTTTTTTAAAATTTCTTTGGAATTACTAGAATTATTTTTCTGTAGAATTACTGGAATTCATTTTGGAATCACTAAAATTCTTCTTGCAATTATTATCTTTTTCAAAATTACTTTGAATTTCATAAAACTATCGGAATTACTCGTAATTTTGAATTACAGGTATTATTTATTTAGAATTACGTACATTAAGTTGGAATTATAGGAATTAATTTGAAAACAATGGAATTACGAATTTGGTGAAATTTTATTGAAGTTTGAATTTTTTTAAGTTAACGACCTCTCGCTTTTAAAATTTTATTAAGATGCTGCGCTGTTTTTTTGTCTTGTAAACAAAAAAATTAGCAATTTCTGAAAGCTGCTTTCAACAAAAATCGTTTGCAACATTGGATAAGTTCAATTTTAGTTATTGTTAATAGGAGATAGCAAAATTTTTATAGATTGAATTAAAAAAATAAAACAAAAATGTGAATAAATTATTTATTTACAAATACTGATCCATTTTTCTTCGATACACTTTTGGCATTCAACTGTACAACACCAGCGAAAAATACAAAAGCATGATATAGTTTGTCGTTGTTTAATTAAATTATAACCTCTTCCGCAACACAGAGAAGAACAACTACTTTGGTCGGTGGCATTCACACTGCAAAGTCTTCCAGAAGTGCCCCAAGCGTCAAGAGATGGTTCCGGTTCACAAAAATTTGGACTTTTTTCGTAAAATAGAAGATTGTTTTTTAGACCGCGTTTATGCTTTTTTTTGTGAGGAGTCCACTGTCTCGATTTCAATCGTTGTTTTAGCTTTTTCTTGTAGCTGAAAAAAAAATCAAAATCTACTGATTTAGTCGAATTTTCTGCATGCTTACTTAATTATTTTGAAATTCCGATTTGTAAAGTAATTAGCTTGTTCGACTTGAATGGCCGATTCAAATTTTTCTTTAAGAGTTTTTCCAATGTAGTGTAGATTTGGAACTTGTTTCCAACACGTCTTTAGTTCGCAACTGCCCGATAAGCCGTGACACTTACATTTTATTTGCATATTGGAAATAACTGTCTGAAAAGTATTCAAAAAACCTTTGTTTGACACCGAAATTTATTTACTTTGGGTACCATTCGACCAATTTTACTGTTGTGTAGATTAATTTGTGAATGTATGTCGTCGCTAACTTCCTTCGATTCAAAAAACATTTTCGAAAATTTGTTTCCGTGATGCAAATTATGTGAACATCCGGCCCATTTCCATGCATTTTTTTTGTACGAGTTGTGTGTTTCACAGCCACAATTCATCAACACACCTCGACTGCAAGTTTTCGCCACAGAAATAGCAATGCCGGCTGAAGTTATGGCGTAGGCAAAAGCAGTTTCCCTGAAACCTGCAAAAAGCAACAACACTAAAAGATAGTTATTTAAAGAGGAGACATGATAGACGGTGGTCACAAATAAACAGCGAATACTTCGTCAATAAATCTAAAGACACGCACGTAAGGCAGCTACAAACAAGGTATGAAGGAGAGATAAAAATTTTGAGGACAAGCACTATATAGGGTATTGGCTACTGTTTTATAATGCTGCATTGAGAAATGTTGACGATCGTAAATCTTCCGCAGCGGGCCGCTCTCTTGCTAGTTGTTGTTTAGTTTGTGATTACGCATGCCGAAAGAAGATAGATGAGCTTTTGTCCGATCAGAAAAAAATTTGCATTTTTCTTCTACTGCCAACTCAAATTACAATACTACAACAAAGTCAAATTTAAGCATTGTTTTGACGAAATTTTCAAATTAAGGCTTAACTTATCGTTTGCCAAGATAGGGAATTTCAATGCATTTTTCGAAAAGGTTTTTCTCGGCTATTATAAGGAATTTTTTGGTTTTTATTTTTTTGATGAAACCATTTTAGATATTTCTAGGGATATTGTTATGTAGCTAATTTAAATTCTTATTTTTTATATATTTTTTAACTTATTTTTTATAATAAAATTATAGTATTTATATGGAAACTAACAATGTCCTTCCTACATGTACCAAAGACCTTAAGAAAAAAAAATGAAATCATTCGGATAATTAATAACTGAAAAATCTCTTGTGGAAAATATTATTAACTTTCYTAGTGTGAAAATCGTCTTGTCTCTCTCAACCCTAGTTCTTTTTCACAACAAACTGAGCTTACCGTAAGCAGACCCCCATCACCGGTTTTATCTGATTTATGARCTTACGAGGGATGTTTCGCATCTATAAGGAAACAACTAAAAGTACAAGCTGTAAAATTAGGTCATTTTAAGAATTGATGTAAAAGATGAATAAATTTAATTTAAGTACCAAATGCTGCTCTGATTTCATATAGTTCTAAAGGTAAATATTTACATTGTTTGAAAAAGGCTGTAAATTAAAAAAGTCCGGGATATTATACTACTACATATGTAAATGCACAACAAAAAGTAAAAGCAAATAATTTAAAACGAAAATTAAATAAAAATAATGACAACAATCTAGTAAACAGAAGAAAAATTACTGAAGAAGCAGATGATGATTATGGTTATGTTGTGCAAAGATGTTTTGAAAGTAATTAAAAAAACTCCTGAAGAAATTTAGATAATTTTTAATCAAACATTTAATCACTATTTACCAGCTTATGCTGAAATGTGTTAAAAAAATAGTTGCTCTATGTAAAATACAACCGCTTGTAACTTGTAACATTAGTGTTTTTTATTCCATTTGTTACTGTGATAAGTGCTAAATAAATAAATAAATAAATAATTCAGCCCTACAGGGTTCCTGCTTTCCGGTCGCTAGATCGGAGAGTACCCTGCTTTCCGGTCGCTAAATCGGAGAGTACACAAATCGACAGTAATAAATGATAATAAGTAATTGTCAAAAAATTAGTACTTTATGTAGTATTTTTTGTCTCTCAAAATGTTTTTATTTTTTTTTTAACTTTTTGTAATACACATAATTCCTAAGCACAAACCGTCCTCAGTGAAATTAATATAAATATTAAATTTTTTTTTAGGATTACGTATTGGGCTTAGTGCCTTTATATTAAACCTATCATTTTTTTAATTTATTATAATTAAAAAATTAAAGTTTTGAAATGAACTAACAATTCTCTTCTTGAGGGGTGCAGATGCATATCTTTGCCTTAAAGCCTTAAATGAGTAATTCCATGCCATGGGAATTACAATGTAAACTCGATCTAAAATATCTCGGAAACTAACTGGAATTTTTGCTTATTTTTTTTTAAATAAAAGATATGTGTTATACAGGCTGTATTATGAAAAACGCCCCAAGCCATAACTCCATTATTTTTAAAGTTATCACAATACTTCTTAGAACAAAGTTGAACATTTTTTGTCATCTATCGTTTGGGATAGATGCTAAATTAATGCTGTTTTCTGTTTCACCGGAAATGATATCAACTTTATTTTTTTTAATGGAACACCCTGTATATTTTACCACTTTTGGATTCTTTGTTTAATTGTCTTTTAACAAGTTTTAGTACCATATGCCTAAAACCAACCGTTCGTGAGATATGAGTCAATTAAAAATTTATTAAAGTAGGCAGTGGAAAACAATAATATMWAGTAATGTTSACAAATATTATTACTTTGCATTTTCTCMTATTATTTTTATACTTTTTGGTGTTCTGGTGATAATGTGTTAACAGACATGATTCAAGAATATTTTGAAAGCAATAAAAATAGTTGGAGACCACAACGCCTTTACACTGGGCGATTTCCAATAAAAGAAGTTCCAATTCGTCGACCTGAAGAAAATTTGAGGATGTTTGGGGTTTTTAGAAAACCCAAATTAGAACAGTTGCGTGCGATAAGCCAACGTTACTTGCAATTTCTTGAATTCTTGTTCTTTCATTTTCTTCAATACCTATCTAATTCTGTATCTCTTTGAAATTAAATATGTTTTAATTTGGGTTTTCTAAAAGCCCAAAACATCCTCAAATTTTCTTTAAGTCGCTTAAATTTTCGACGATTTGGAACGTCTCTCATCAGAAATCACCCAGTTTAAAAGCGTAGTGCTCTCCCACAATTTTTATTTTATTCAAAATGTGTCTGTTAACACATTATCATCCATGATTAACATTAAAAAGTATAAAAAGAGAAAATGCAAAGTAATAATATTTGTCAACATTACTACATATTATTGTTTTCCACTGCCTACTTTAATAAATACATTATTTGGTGAATATCTCACTGTTAGTTTTAGGCATGTGGTACTAAAACTTGTTAAAAGACAATTAAACAAAAAATCCAAAAGTGGTAAAATATACAGGGTGTTCCATTAAAAAAAAATAAGTTGATTTGATTTCCGGTGAAACAAAAAACAGCATTAATTTAGCATCTATCCTAAACGATAGATGACAAAAAATGCTCAACTTTGTTCTAAGAAGTATTGTCATAACTTTAAAAATAATGGAGTTATGGCTTGGGGCGTTTTTCATAATACAGCCTGTATGTAGGGGCTCAATTTTTGCTTTTTCCAAAAAAGGTAGTTATTAAATTTTTATCGAATTAAATGTTTTTTTTTGTTCTTTAATTTTTTTTAAATTCAGTCTCTATCAAATAATGTAAATAAGTAATACGCAAAATGTATCTTCAAAATATTGAAAAATGTAAAAATGCCAGGGAATCGGATTAATAATTTTTAAAACTTTTATCTCTTATAAGTTCTCTCTTTCTACTGTATCTGCAGTTAGGTTCGACCGAGAAAAAGGGACCCATCATAAATAATCGCTTACCGCAACTAACAATAAATGCCACAATTGCAAAATAATTCCGATATTTACTTTATCGTTGAGGTTTTAACACAATTTTTACATCAGTAGGTAAATAAAATTAAAAATAATTATCAAAAATGTAGGAAGTACAATCAGCGTAGAAAAGATTGTCCTCCTAATAAACCGCCCGAACCCTTAGAGGCTGAACCCATAAACCACAACAATAAATATTTTCCATTGTCAACGTTATTTCATATTTAACAGTATATTCAGTTTGAAGTGAAGCTTAGTTACCGATTTTATTTTCAATTGAGTAGATAAAAATTCACAACTTTATACCGCAATTAAAAGTTAAATTAAAAAATAATTTTAATGAATGTTTGATGTTATTAATTTACTAAGATAACAAGTAAATGCCGTTTTAAATGTATAATAAAATAAACAATAATATTA